GAGAAAGGTGAAGGTCAGCAGGGGCAGGGGGAGGCGTCTGCATGGGTCCCTGAGGGCCAAAAGTGACCAGAGCTGCAACGTGGTCAGGTTTCAGGTTAAGCAGATCCTTCTGAGTGCGGGGCTGGGGGTGGTTTAGAACAGCAAAGGGGAGGCAGGGAGGGGGCCCAGCATGGCAGCCAACCTTGCAAAGAGATGCTGAGAGCCCAGTGACTGACGGAGGGTTCCTCTCTCTGACCTGCAGGCTGGACATGGTCAGGATGGCCATGCGGTGCTCAGCGTGAAAGCCCATAGAGAATGCCCGCTGGGTGCTAAGCAAGCCGAGAGGCTGGTCTCACTCTGACCTCAGCACCCCAGCCATTGCAGGGGTCCAGGCCTGCACCTTACTCCCAGCCCTGACCCAAGGGAACTGCGGGAGAAGCTTAACTGGTCTTTGTCAGGGATAAAATGAGAGTCAGAGGTGATGAGACTGTGTGCCCAGTGGTGTGCAGGGTGACGATAAGCACTCGGCAGCCATTTGGTGTGATTAGCACCCGCACACATTAGATCATCAACTGTCACAGCCGACCGATGCGTCGATCCCTTGTTATCCTCAGTTTTGGAGAGCTGCCCAAGGTCACACAGCTAGTAGGTGACAGAGCTGGGATGCAGCACTCCAGAGACCACGTGCTGAACCACAGCTGCTGCCCTGCACTACGCAGGGCCACTGCTTTCACTCAAGGATAAGGGACTGCACCCACGGAGGTGGGCAGTGCACAGCCCGCAGCCCTTGCCCTGCCTGGCGGCCCTGCTCTCATTCGCCTCTCTACCGACCCCTGCGGTCTTTGGTCTCCTTTATGGAGCATCTGTCATGGGTCACCCACTTTTTTAGCACACTGAGTGCATCCACTCATTTGGTATTCACGTCAACTCTCTGTGAACGGGAGGACTAGAATAGATTCTTAGAGAGGAAAAGCAGGCTCAGAGAGGAGCGAGGACCCGCCCAAGGTCACTGAGCCAGGGGATGGTGGAGCCAGATTCAAACCCACATCCGGCTTCCAACCTGTACACTGGCCCCTGCAGAATTCCACCCTCCTCTTCCTTTTAGAATTAGTGCACTGGTGTTTTCAGTAACTTTTAGAGGGCTGAAAATTTTTCGCAGTAATATATTTTACTTTTTTATTTATTGTTAAGCCTGTTGTAGAAACGTTCAAAAATAAAGAAAACTGAGGCCAGGCTTGGTGGCATGAGGCTGTAATCCCAACACTTCGGGAGGCTGAGGTGGAGGGTCCCCTGATGCCAGGAGCTTGAGAATCCCAACACTTCGGGAGGCTGAGGTGGAGGGTCCCCTGATGCCAGGAGCTTGAGACCAGCCCAGGCACCAGAAGGAGACCCTATTAAAAAATTAAAAATTAGCCAGATGTAGTGGCGTGATCCTGAAGTCCCAGAACTTTGGGAGGATTGCTTGAGCCTAGGAGTATAAGGCTTCTGTGAGCTATGATTGTGCCACTGTACTCCAGCCTGGGCAACAGAGCAAGACCCTGTCTCTAAAACAAAAGTAAATCAGTTAAGTTGAAGACATACATAAAGTTGACCAGTGATTCTGCCACTCAGAGATGCCAACTCTTATTGGTGGCATGTCTGTGTGTCCTTCCAGACGTTTTTCTAGTTGTATGTCACGGACACACTGTTACATTCATACTGAATACGCACCGCTATAAGCTGCTTTTAATGCAGTCATCTAGGTTATTGCCAAGCATTGTAAACATCTCTTTTAAAGGCTGCATAATATCCCACTCCATGCAGAAACCTTGCATTTTTAGGCAGCTCCCAATATTGGACATTTACCCTAACGTTTGTTTGCGGTTTTAGCATGTTTATTGTTATTACAAATAATGCTGTGAAGAACATCTCTGAGCATAAAACTTTGCCCTTATTTTGGATTCTGTTTTGCTAAGAATGTTGTTCTTGTATTAGTTCAGATCCCTGGGGAGGAGGGCAGGTCCTGAGTCACTGTGGCAGGTCAGGACAGATGGCAGATCCCCTGGAACAGTGGTGGGGTGGAGGCAGGGGAGCACAGCCCAGTTCACAGGCTGAGGCAGGAGGGAGCGCACTTCCCTCCCAGGGAAGTGGCCGTGGGAGGGTAGGCTGGCAGCTGTGGATGAGGATGCCCGCTGGGTTTCTTCCCATCCCTGCAGTGGCTTTTGCTGTTCCCTTAAATGTCCATGTCCTCAGGGCTCTGTCTGACCTTCCCTCTTCACCCCTCACACTCTCTCCTCTCTTTTCCTTCGGGGCTGAGCCTCCAGTCAGACCCTCACAGCCTCCTGGACTATTCCCCAGGGGTCTTCCTCACATCCAAAGAGGGTAGGGGTTATCTCTCCCTCCACCCTACACCTCTGCCTGTGTCCCTGTATAGACAAAGGGTGCCACCACCCACCCAGTGGACGAGCAGGAACCTGGCCATGTCTTGTCCCCCCCATCTTTCCTCTCCCACCCACACTTCTCCCCAAAACACCTTTTCTCTGCATCCCCACTCTCATGCCTCAGTGCAGGCCTCCCCCTCCTCCCTCCAGAGTCACCATCCCAAGTTCTCCTCTGGTACTCCAGCCTCTAATCTCTCCCCATTAATCTTTGAGGGGATCTATTTAATCACAAACCTCACCACGTCCCTCCTCTGCTCAGAAACCTCCTGGGACCCCATTACCCTCATCATGAAGCTCAAATGCCTGGCAGGTTAAGTCTCATGACTTTCTGCTGCTTTTCGCCCCCGAGCCTCTGCGCACGTTGTTCCATCTGCAAGCAATACCCTTCCATGCACTGTCTGCCCAACAGGCTTCTACCCATCCTTCGACTCTGCTTCAACATCCTGTCCTCCAGGAAACTTCTGTTTTTCCTTGCTGTATCTCTTTTTCTCAGAAACCTGGCCCCTCCTTCCCTCATTTTACATAGTATTAATTGATTTGTATTTCCATCGAAACAGTCAATTTCACCATATTATAACTGTGATCATGTTCACTCAGTATTATAACTACTACAAGGTACTTGCATTAGAACATTTGGTTCTATGTGACATTGAGTCCACTTCAAACTGGCTCACGTGAAATGGGGCATATGGGGAGCATGACTTCCAGGTTTCAGGCATGGCTGGCTTTGGGCTCTGGTGATGAGAACCTGCAGCTTCTCAAGCAGGCTCCTCCCCATGGGTGCCCCAGTAAAGTAGGGACTTCTATTTCTCAGGGGTAAGCTCAGGTCCAAGGTGGGATGTTCTTTCTCTCCACGACACTGGCAAACATCTGGGCCTGCCTCTCACAGCCCCGCTTGAGTCCCACCCTGGTCCTGGCACCCCCAGAGTCCCAGAGATTAAAGAGGCGGTAACCAGAAGGAGGCGAGGGGTTGGGCAGGAAATGTGTTGGGTGTCCACCATGGGCTCAAGGCATGCAGCTCCCTTCCTCCAGGCAGGAGATGGGGCCTTGGCTCCTCGTTTCCCATGCCTGACCTGGGCCTGACCCAAAGCAAGCATTGGTCAGCACTTACGGATGCAGGATGGGGAAGATGGAGCACCACGACTGCTCTGTGGTTTGGGAAGGCTCAGGGCCCCAAGGGTGGGACCAGGCAGCCAGTGGGACCCCCTCCCTACACATTCAAAGTAGTACGATTAGAAAGAAGCACTGCTCCCCCGAGGCCCTCACACGGCCCTGGGTATCCCAACATGGGAAACCCTGCACTGATGTTGGGGTGCCAGACAGGGCAGGTACAGAGCAGGGCAGGCCCGTGGAGGCTGGGTCAGCACAGTCTTGCATGTTTACTGGTGGGGGAAAGTAACTGTAACATGGGGTGCACAATTTACAATGCTGATAGAAAAGTTCTGCTTTAGTGAAAATTATTTTAAATTGAGATAAATATATTAGACCAATATGAACACAGATATGCTAGGCTTGGAGGAACCCCCTGGGGCAGCTGGGAGAAGTAGGCACCAGCCCTGCCCGGCCCAAGCCTCCGGGATCCAGCACCCCGTGAATGTCCCTCCTGTGAACTCTCCAGCCACCCAGCCTGGCTCTGAAACAGCAACAGCAAAGCAAACACCGGCAGAGCACGCAGCTGGACGGGCCCTGGTCTATCTGCTCCACCTGCGCGCACTCACCAGCTCTTAACTGCAGGTGGACACAGACGCCCTGCTAATCCCGGCGTCTAGATGAGGGGCTGCGGTGGGGTCCCCTTCCAAAGTCCCGCAGCTGGTGACAGAGGAGGCTCCTGGCCTTCACCCCCAGACTACACGGCCTGCTGAGAGGTGCAGAGTTTGAGGGGAGAAGGGAGAGGTATGGCAGCCTTTGGGTGTGAGAGAGAGTCCATGTCCTGGTGCTCTATCTCTGCACATGGGGACCCAGCATCTCTGGGTTTGTCTGCCAAGCTTCCAGAAGCCCATACACATTTAGTGTCTGTGGCTGCTCCATCCTGTCCTGCCACTGACCACCACATTTTAGTGATGGCTTCTCTCGCTCATGTTAACACCCCCTTGCATCCTGCAGGGGCCTCTCAGACTCCTGAGTGGAGGCTCAGAAGCACAGGGGCTGCTCTAGGTGCCCTCTGCCCATGTTCACTGGATCTCTCCCCAGGGAAGCAGGACTCAAGAGTCCTGCAGCAGCCGAAGCATCAAGCAGTGTCTGTCTCCCACGCCCCCTCTCTCCAGCCAGCGTGAGCTCCTTCAGGGAGTGTCTGCAGGGCCACAGCTCCCTCACTCATACCCGGCCCCAGCAGGCTCCATGGGCCAGGGCCCATGGAGTCCTTGGCACACTCAGCAGCAAACCTGGCAAGGCAGCAAGTGGGGCCCAATGCCAGCCCTCCTGGCTTTCTGATCTCCATCAGCTGGGATTCCAAAATAGCATCAAAAAGCAGTGGATATGCTCCATTTCAGGAGCATACCAGGGACTGCTACCCAGCTGTTATGGGGCCAGGGTCTGATCTTCTCCCCCAATACAGGGGACAGGGCACCTCATTGATATTTGGTTTGCTGCAGAGGGAGGTGTTTGCCAAGCTTCCAGAAGCCCACACACGTTTCCAGAGATAATTGCTTCCGGCTGCTTCCTCCCTTCATCAGCCACCTGCACGTGAAGGGTGGAGCTGGGCAGAGATGTTAGGAGGGCCCTGCAAAAGCCTGCCAGCAAGGTCCCCCCAGCACCAGAGCCCAAGCCCATGTCTATGATTAGAAAAGGCTGTGATTTGGAAACTCAGCATGGAAAAGTCTGTGGTTTAGAGAGTCCGTGATTCAGTCTTCCAGACATAACGCTGATTGGGGAAAGAGGTGCAGAAAAAGATATGCAATGCGATTCTACTTACGTAAAGTTTAAAAACGTGCACAAGTGTTTATATGGTTTGTGGACACCTCACTATGCAGGAGATTCACTACAGGGTGAATTCACCATGGGGATGGGAGCAGGGCAGGGCTGGCAAGGGGGACGTAATGGAGGCAGTGACCCTGGACTTCCACCACACTCGCCATGTTCTATTTCTTGTAGTGGGTTGGGGATACATTAGAGTTCAGGGTATTCACCTTTATGCCTTTTGGCATATTTTAAATCTTTTATTAAAAATGTCATAATATGCTACGTTTGGTGGTGCATGCCTGTAGTCCCAGGCTAAGGCAGGAAGATCGCTGAGCCATGGGTGCTCCTGTGAAAGCCACTGAACTCCAGCCTGGACAGCATAACAAGACCTCATTTTTTTAAAAAGAAAAAAGAAAATAAATTCTTTAAGTGATGCCATTTTTAGGGGTCTATGTAATACTTCATATTTCCTATAGGCATATATATATGTAGATAAATGCATAGAAAAAGTTATGGAAAGTTTGCTGAGGATGATGTTTTCCAGATTCAAACTTTCCAGAAAATGAAACACCGCATATTCTCACTCACAGGTGGGTGATGAAAAATGAGAACACATGGACACAGAAAGGGGAATACTAAACACTGGGGTCTATTGGGGGGAAAAGGGGAGGGCCAGTGGGAGGGGGAGGTGGGGAGGGATAGCCTGGGGAGAAATGCCAAATGTGGGTGAAGGGGAGAAGAAAAGCAAAGCACACTGCCATGTGTGTACCTACGCAACTGTCTTGCATGCTCTGCTCATGTACCCCAAAACCTATAATCCAATAAAAAATTAAAAAAAAAAAAAAAAAAAAAGAAAAAGTTATGGAAAGATCCACTCCAGACAGATGACAGCAGTCACCTCTGCAGACATGGAAAAGGGGAATAAGACTTAAGGGGCTGGAAGGTAAAGGGGTGTCATTTTTTTTAAGGAGAATAAATTTTCTTATCATTCGTGCAGTTAGGACATCATTTCTTTAAAATGTAAAGCTTCAGCCAAAAGAAAATAAAGTCCCCAGACTTGAAGGCTGTGTGGTTCTGAGGTTTGAAAAGTCAGAGTGTTGATGGCTTTGCAGTTAGTTCCCCAGCTGGAACAGAGCAGCGGGGTTGGGGGGATTCCCTTCTGCCCTGCTGTGGATGAAGACCCTGAATCCCTGGGATTCGGGGCTCCCTGCCTTGAAGAACTCTGTGACTGTCAGGTCTGTGGACTGCATGCTGCAACCTTCTCTGTCCTCCCTCTTCCCAAATGCTGTTGTGCTCCTCCCACCTTGGGGACAGATGGCCGCAGGTTGCAGGAGTGAGCCGATCTGCAGGAATGTTCTGCCAGCCTGCAGGATGGAATTTTCCAGTCAAGGGAGGGGAGATGGATGTGAGCAGCTGCTTTCTCCTTCTGATCCAGGTGGTTTCCTGCAATCCACAATGATGAGGCAGGAGCAGAGGTGAACTTGGGCACTTACAGAAACCCCAGAGGGCGAAAACACTGTCCAAATGCTAGGTTCCCACTGTGCACTAGCCCCAGCCCGCAGAGGTGGGTAAGGGTGGGTGATTCTTTGATACAACCCGGGTCACAGAGCAGCAACCCCAAGGCTGCCTGCCCCCATTTCCCACTCTAGACATCTGGTTACAGCTGAAAAAGAAAGAAAGTGGACAATTTCATCCAAAGTCCTGTAGTGCCACATTCTATGTGATTAGGACCCTCTCACAACCACAGTCTTCACATCTGGGAGGTGGGGCTGGCAAATCTGCCCTGAGATTGGATGGCGAGGGCTTGGGGTTGTGAGGTAGGTGAAGCCCAGCCTGCACAGGTGGGCATGCCCCTTTGCTGAGTCTCTCTGACCTCCTGCTGCCTGAAGGGGTGAACCTGTGGGTTCCAGAGTCAGAGATCAGAATTAGAATCCCAGCTCCATGCTTTTTGGAGCCTCCTTTGTGCCTGGTCCTGCGCCGGATACTGAATGTCAGAAGTCAGAACAGCACAGGTGAATTGTAGGCACTGCCCAAGTGCCTTGTAAATGACGTTTTGTAAAAGCCTACAATCTTGGCCTTTGTATCTAAATGCCAGGGTCCTTGCCATTTCCCCTACTTTGAAATAGCATCATAACATGGAAGGAAAAGGAGTGTATATTTATAAGAGGAAGTGCTGAAGAAGCAACAGATGTGCAGATGCATGTGTTGGGCCTCCCAGGGAGCAAAGAGGAAGCCCAGGAAAGGGATGTGGGGTGCTCCACACTCAAGGCATCCAGTTCACCACTCAGCTTGTTTCCTCCTCTGGAAGATGGAAGTGAGAAGAATCGCCACTTGAGCAAGGTGGCTGAGAGGGACATTGCTCTAGCCCAAGGCAGGCTGTGAGTTAGAGTCTGGGCTCTGCTGCTGCCTTGATGGGAGAACACTGTATGTGGTGCAGCCCATCTAAGCAAGAGTGGAATTATGTTCACTTCATAGGGCGCTTCTGAGAATTCACTGAGATGGTGAAACAATCCAACCTGACACAAAGTGAGCCCTCCTGATGCGGTGGCTGCATTTTGATGTTGTTATTAAAATCTTTTGAAACTCCAGTGAGGAGAGGAGCGGGGCCGGCTCTGCAGCATGTTAACCCACCGAAGTGTGAATTCCTCACATGCCTCAGGGATGGAGGTCCGTGCTGCAGGAAGACTGGTCATGCATAGGGATTCACCAGGAGAGGGCAGATCGGGAAGCATCATGCAGTTCTGATCGATGCCTTTACCTCAGCCACCTGAGGCCACAACTCCAACCCCTGCTTCCTACCAGGACACTGAGCCAGAAGAGTGGGGTCCTAGTCCCACCTCTGCCACTCTTTGCTGTGCAACTTTAGGCAAATCACTCACCCCCCAAGGTTCATTTCCTCCACCATAAAGGATGGGACTCAAGGATGCAGCATCACTTCTTGTAAATTCAGTGCGTGTGAGTCTGGAGAGAATGGAAAGAGGAAGGAAAATGGCCCTGTGGGCTGCCAGCCATGGCCAGCCGATTCTCAGTCTCATCCACCCCCTCTCTCATTTATTCCTCCCAGCGAGGCAGCTTTCAAGCAAGCAAGAGCCAAGGCTCTGGAGCCAGACTGCCCTGGCTACACTGCCTGCCAGCTGTGTGGCTTGGGCCAGTTGAACCTCTGAGTTTAGTGACCTCCTCTGTGAAGTAGGATGATAATATTAGGCCTCATTGGGGTTGTCTTGAGGGTTACCATGCATGGAAGAATATTATCTAAATGCCTCTGAGGTAGGTCTGGGATTCCCGGTTTACAGATGAGGAAGCAGAGAGGATCAGATGAACATCAGATAGGAAGAGAGAGATCTGTGTGGTAAAGGTGGGTGTGGGAGCTGAAGAGGGATGTGCGCTTCTCCTCCACCTCCCTGTCCCACCACTGCACCACGCTGGCCTCCCTGGGTCACTCAGATACACCAGGCTGCCTTCTGCCTCAGCAAGCTGCCTTGACTACCTTGATGCCAGCTCCTCCCCTGCTTCTTGTGTCATTCAGGTCTCAGCCACACATGCCTCACAGAGGGCCTTCCCCGAACACCCCTTCTGAGGGCAGAAGCCTCCTTCCCACCTCCCTCAGCCTCCCTGCCTCCCTTCTTCCTGCTCTCTTTTCATCCTGATCCTTATCACCGCGCACAATCATGTATCTGCACACTTCCTGTCTCCCCCTTAGACTGTAAACATACTCGCCCAGCACATGGAAGGTGCTCGGGAGATGAACAGGCACCACAGGTAGACCAGAAATTCTCCCTAGCCCTGTGCAGCCCCCTTTGGGACAGGCACAAATGAGGACTTCTCTGCCATCCGTGGTGCAGCTATCGGCGTGGTGTGCCCTCCTGGAACCCTGTGGCGTAGCTGTTATGATCCCTTTCAGAGTAGCATAATCAAGGCTCCCAAGAGAGATGCGGCTTGCCAAGGTCTCATCGCCCTTCAGTGGCAGAGCCAGCCCGAGTCGGTGGGCCTCACTCCAGGGCCAGAGCCCCAAGAGCTCCATGGCTCGCGTGTCTCAGTGCCGAAGGGAGAGAAGCCGCCTTGGAAAGCAGTGTCATCATAGGCTCCGCGCAGCGGCGCGTGCATTTTAGCAACAGACTTCCAGGTTTCCAGCGCGGGCCAGGAGGGGACCGACGCCCCACGCCCCGCCGGGTGTGTGACTTTGCAGTGAGGGCGCTGCTGGGCGACCGCGCCTGATGCTGCTGTTGCCATGGGGACCAGCGCCTAGGCGATTGGTCCAGCGCGGCCGCACTACGTTGCTCCTTGGGCGCGGGGGGGGGGGGGGAGGCTCTGGTTCGCCCGCCCCTCCTCCGGATGCTGCGAGAGCAAACGGGTGGGGGGGGGCAGCCTCCTCTCGGCCCTCCCCTCCCCATCCCTGCGCCCCGCACCCCGGACTTACGGGAGGGAAAAACCCCAAGGTGGGCGCAGGTAGCAGCGAGGTGGACACCCCCGCCTAGCCTAGCGACCATGGATACTCGACGTCCTCGCTCGCTCCTGGGCACGGTGTAAGCGCGCGCTACGTGCCAGGGCCTTCCACAGCCCGCTGTTGGCGCCGCCCCCGCCCCCTGCTCGCGCTCCAGCCTCCCTTAAGGAGCCCGCCGCCCCCGGGAATGTGACTCGCCCCGCGATTTAATTTTATTCCCCTCCACTTCTTGCCTGAGCCTCCTGCTCCTCCTGCACACACGTTGAGCTTCCCTGCTGGAGAGGGAGCCAGAGCAGGGAAGAACGGATTCACACAGGATGGCTTGCAGAAGACGCTATTTGTGAGTATATGTGGCGGGTTTCTGCCTGAAGCCAGAGGCCAGAAGGGTCCGGCTGAGCTGGGTGCTGGAATGAGGGGCTTCGTGCGGGGGAGGGGCAGATGGAGGTGCAGGTGACTTGTAGAGGGAGCTGACTACCCGGCAGGGATGCCAGCGTTCGGCCCCTGTAGCGGAGGTGTTTGTTGGTGATGACGATGAGAAAAAGGCTATTAGTCAGCAGGTCTTCAGCAGGCTGTGAAATTCCCAACTCCGAGAGCAGGTATCCCCCCTCCCAGATCAACATTCAGGGTGCCCAGACCGGCTGCTACTGTTTTGGCTTTGGTTTAGCCTAGAGCCTGTCTGTCTGGGAAAAGCCTCTCTGCCCTGCATGCCCATGGCCAGCCCTTCAGCCATGCCTGATATAAGGTCACAGGCAGACTGAGGCAGTGGGCAGGATGCCACGTCCTCCAAGGGCAGGTGAAGGTCCAGCCCACCGTCCCTAGCACGGTGGCATCAGTGTCCAGCTGTGCGCCCAGGTGTTCTGTGGGCTGGCAGCAGAGTGTCTGTGTGCTGGGCCTCACGCCAGCAGCAGAGGCTGTGAAAGTCTGCACGGGGCGGTGACATCACAGGCCTGGGTATTTATGGAAACCAAAGCCTGTGCTTCGTTAAGCCAGGCTTCCCAGGGGGCAGTGGGGTTCGAATGCCAGCTTCCCTCACAGCTCTCTGGGGCTCTGCACTGTGCTATTCTAGGAGGAGCAACTTTTGTCCTCCTCTGGGACCCTAGGCTGTAGAGGTTGAGGCCCAGCCTAGGTCTCTACCTGCCCTAGTCTACTTGCGCAGGGCCCATTCATTTGGGGCTGTGCAGTGCCCTCAGACCTTAGGAGGTTATGGAACAGGACTGAGTCCTCTTGAGCTAGGCTCAGTTGCAAAGCTAGGAAAAGAAGGCCTGGAGCAGTATGTGGGGAGCCTTCTGGGGGCTATCCCAAGGCCTCCCTACTTCATGGAGGCCCCTTACCATGGCAAGGGCCTGTTGTGCCCCTGATAGAGTGACAGCTCCCCCTCGCCTCCACTGAAGGAAGGTAAACATACCTCTGCCTCTGCTGCGTCAGCAGCCCCAGGCGGGAGCCCGCAGGGGATGGCGGTGGCGTCCGGTTCGCTGTGATGCTCACTTGCTTTGCTAGTGGAGAAGCTCACAGGTTGGGTTGTCGGTGTGAGCAGAACACACCAAAGTTCCCACTCCCTGTGGCAAGGTCCTGGCTATATTTTTGGAAACAAATAGTAAATCCTTTCCCAGCGTGGAACTTCCACCACAGTGGCTGGGAATAGGTCCTCCTGAGACAGCTGTGCACAGTTCTACTGGAACCCTGGAGTGTACTAGCCTGGGGTGGGGGGCTGTAGCCCAGGCTCTATGCTGGAATCACTTGAGGGGCAGTAAAAAGAAAAAAAACAAACTGTGTGGGTCCCACTCCCAGACATTCTGGTTTCTAGGTCTGGGGAAGGGCTCAAGCCTCAGGATCTTTGTCATTTTCCAGATGATTTTGATGTTCTGGTATGGTTGACGTTTCTGGGACGCAGCTATTCACTGTAGCTGCATTGCCCAAGCCTAACCGACTGCAATTTTGCAGAGACCACGTTCCTATATGGATTTCAATGCTCTTCCCTGGAGAGTCTGCTTCAATCAGTTGGGGGCCCAGCCACCTGCATTTGAACACATGGCCCTGGTGGGTTTGATGGCCCTGGTGGGTTTGCTGATTCCTGGACTAAGCCCGTCTTGCCTTCCTGCCTGAGCAAGGGCCTGGCCCATAGGGGCTCAGGGCTCATGGCCTCCCTTTCCTGTGGGTCTTTCCACTTTTCTCCAGCTCTCAGGCTCCCACAGTCTGGGCATTGTGGCTTCCAGGCCATCCCCCCGCTCTGCTGCCAAACCTACTGGCACTGGAAATACCAAAGAGACTTGGAGGGGGTGGCTGTTTGTACGGAAGGATTTTGCAATCAAGAGCCGGTCTTGCCTGAGGTCATCTGCGGCACTTGATAAGCCTGTTTCCCCACCATTACTCCCCACCCAGAACCCAGGACAGACCCAATCCCAGGCCCAGGCTCTCCTAGCACCTGCTGCTGCTCAGACCTTATTGTCAACCCGCCTTTCGATGTGGGAAGGAGGCGGGGCATTGAGCATCTCTAGATGTTTCACTTTCTGGACAGCAGCACTGTAGCCACTACAGAGCTGCCCAATTTGATTGCAAAGGGTTCTCATGCTTCGTTGCCTCACTGGGGCTCACCAACTACTGCAAAATGTGATACTATTCATCCCATTTTACAGAGGAGGAAACCGAGGCTCAGAGTGGGGAAGGAACTTGACTTGGGTCACACAGCTGTTTCCTGTCATACATTTGGCAGTGGTGTCCCTTCCCCAGTGTGCTGCATTGTCAGATCTGGACAGACTTGCTGCAGTGGCCCTGTGCATGGCATGGCCAGGCTATCCTCAGCCCAGAGGAGCCCCTCCGGCAGGCCCTCCCCACCCCACCGTCCCTGCTCCCCATGCTCCATTTATGTTCCTTCCACTCTCTGGGCCCCTGATGTGCACCCAACAGAGCTTTATGGAATTGAAACTCTGGCCCATTAAGGGCTCAGTCCATTGTGAAGGTGGCACACTGGATGGGATAAAGGATGACAACAAAAGCAGGAGAAGATTTCTTAACCCAATGGGGGAACATCAGGAGGCTTCCAAGAATCAGATCCCGAATCAAACTTGCTAATACTCAAGGTCATTGCTATACTGGCAGCTTCATGAATGGTGTCTGAATGAAGGTTGGCCCCCACTTCTGTAACTACAGCGCCCTTTTCATCATCTCTGCATTGGGACCCTCTGTCCTCATGGGCACGTCACATCCTGTCCCTTGAACACAGGAAGTGAGGCTGTGAGGAGTGTGTGGTGTGTGAGATGCGGGCTGCTTGGCCAGGTCAGAGTGGGGCACTCTCCCACCCTTGCCTGCTCATTCATCCATTCACTTTCTGAAACTGCCCCGGCCCCTCTCTTCCTTCTGTTTGGGCAATATGGTGACCAGCCAGCCCCTGCAGGAGGCAGTGGTCTCCCTCCCATGGGAAGCCCTGGCCTGCAGTTTGCAGTGGGGCCACCATGAAGGAAGCCCACCCCTGGTAGGTCTCCCCCAGACAGGAGAAGGGACACTGGTGGGACTGGGGGCCTGGAATAGTCCACACACACACCTCCAGGAAACCTGTGCATTCAGGCTTCACCATTGTCACCTGGGCTGGCTCAGTTCTGCAGGCACAGTTATCAGCATCTGCTGGACAGTGGGCCTGGGCTGGATGCCAAGGAACAGCAGCCCCAGCCCACAGAGGGTGATGCAGGTGGGGAACCTGAGGCCCAGTCCTCACTCTCAAGCACACGTGATGACTGGTAGCCCTTCCTGCCATGCAGATACAGTGATCACTGTTAAAAATGGTCACTATGAATGACTCACACAGACTGGGCTATTTTCCAAGAATGCTGTAGCATCTATCTGCCCTTTACAGCCCCAGGAGGCAATTGGTTATGACTCTGAAAGGCTGGGATATGCAGCCCAAGGTCACATAGCCAGGCCTGGGTCTCCACTTCCCTGTGTTCAGCTAATGTTCATAGTCCTCCTGCTGTGTGCCCAGCTCAGTGCTGGGAACCGCTGAGAGGGTACCACTCTCAGGGGATACTGTGGGGAGAAGCACACAGAGAAATGAAGAGGGTAGAGTGCCCAATGGTAATGGATCCACTGCTTGTCCTCTCTGGGCCTGTGACCTCATCTGGAAGGTTCCTGGTTATGCTGTGACACACAGGGGGCTGGGAGTGGGAGGAGCGGTGTTCTGCCAGGCACAGCAGCTCCAGGCATGCTGGCTTGTTCCCATGGCCCCATCCTGCCGATCACTCACCTGTTCATTCACTCAGCCCACTGTGGTCACTGGACAGCTAGTCCACATCCTGACACACGCCAGGCCTGTGGGCTATGCCTGTAAACAGGCCAGGCCAGGCCAGCCCTGCCTGCATGGAGCTGACTGTCCAGAGAGGAACAGTAAATAAGACGTTGATGGCACCCACCAGAGCTGCTCCTGTATAGAGCTGGGAAGAGAACAGGGTGGGGCAGTGGGCACCCCTTCCTAGACATGCCCCTCTCTTAGCCACTCTGGGGCGAGGCCCTCTCTCCCACCCTTCCTGGCCTCCCCTGATCCCACAACACTCCACCTCCTGCCCAGCCCTGCCTGGAGGGCTCACCCTGCCACGCTCTTGCCCATGCTGGCTTCTCTGCCAGGAGGGCCCTTCCTCCCCTTTGCCTCAGACCTCACAGTCCAATCTGTGCCTCTTTCCTGACTCCCCCAGGCAAATTGGTCCCCTCCTGGAGCTCCCACATGGCGAGTCCTCCCTGTGACAGACCCCGTGCTGGACCCTCTGTTGTCACCAGCTGCCTGGAAGTCCCACCTT